AGGTAGTAGTGCAGCAGCCCCAGATCGCTCATCTGGAACATGGCCTTCATCTACGACTTGAACTCGTCGATGTCGCCCGTGCTGCCACCGGTGATCACAAGATCGTCGATGTACACGCCCACGACGAGGCACGCATGCGCCCTCACCGCACAGGTACACAGCATGCTTGGAGTCGCTGCGCCGGAAGCCAAGCCTGAGCAACGAGCTGTCCAGCTTCGCATACCAGGCGCGGAGAGCTTGACGAAGCCCGTACAGCGCCTTGACAAGATGCAGCACCTTGCCTTCTTGCCCCTTGAGGACGAAGCCCGGCGGTTGCTTGACGTAGACCTCCTCCTGCAACTCGCCGTTGAGGAAGGCTGATTTGACATCCATGTGATGGACAGCCCAACCCTCGTTCGCGGCGTGCGCAAGGAGAAGCCACACAGACTCCAGCGTGCCACAGGTGCGAACACCTCGTCGAAGTCGACGCCTTGCCGCTGCACGTAGCCTTTCGCGACCAGCCGGGCTTTGTACTTGGAGATGATCTCGGCTGCGTCTTTCTTCTCCTTGTAGACCCATTTGAGGCCAATGGGTCGGGAACATGGCGGAGGGTCGACGAGCTCCCATGTACCATTCGCCTCAATCGCCGTCATCTCATCGAGCATGGCGTGGCGTCAGCACTCGTGCTTCTGTGCCTCGGCGAAGCAGGTCGGCTCGACGTCGCTGGCCAGCAGCAGGTGCTCCTCCAGCTCCCGCTGTGCTAGTCCAGGCGCTGATGTAGAGCCCAGCACATTGTCCACCTTGCGGAACCGAAGCGGTGCATCATCATCATGGTTAGCATCCAAATCAGCTTCCCCAGTGCCTGGGGGCACGGTGAACTCCACCCCCTGCCCAGCAGCTTGTGCTAGGGTCCTTGGAGTCTGCTGCGCGACGTCGTGGAAGGGCGATGGGGGCGGCGGCGGCAGCATGGGCGATGTCGAGCTGGATGCCGACGACGTAGTCGACGAAGTCACGGTCATCACCTTAGGTAATCCTGCTGTGCCCTCCTCGACGGTGAAGTCGTTAACAACATCAGGGAATTCGCCCGCCCAGTCCCACTGGGCGCCCTCATCGAAGACGACGTCACAGCTGATGTGAACTCGCCGCATCGATGGGTCGAACAGGCGGTAGGCCTTGGAGCCCGCCTCGTACCCGACGAAGATGGTATGGCGGCTCCGATCGTCGAGCTTCTTCTAATTTGGCGCCATCAGCTTCATGTGCGCCATGCAGCCGAAGGTGCGCAGATGATGGGCGCTGGGAGCGCTGCCAGTCCAGAGCTGGTAGGGGGTCTTCCGCCGATGCTCTTGGATGACGAGCGGTTGAGTAGATAGACAGCCGTGGTGACTGCCTCTCCCCAGAACACGCCCGGGAGCTGCTTTGCCTTCAACATACTCCGGGCGGTGCTCACCACAGTCCGATTGAGCCGCTCGACGACGCCGTTTTGCTGAGAGGAATATGGCGTCGTGTGCTCGCGATGCAAACCCAGCTCGGTGCAGTACTCCTCGAAGTTCCACGCCAGGGACTCTCCTCCTCGGTCCGTGCGGAGTGCATGAACTAACTTCCCGGTCTTGCGCTCCGCCGCCGCCTGAATGCGCTTGATCGCCGCGGACACGGCGTCCTTGGAAGGCAGCAACACGATCCACATGTACCGCTAGTAGTCGTCGACGAGTAGAAGGAAGTAGCGGTTGCCGCTGGGCGTCGGTGGCGAGATGGGCCCACAAATGTCCCTGTGCAGCAGCTGCAGCACCTCGGTGGAACGTGAGAGCACACGCTGCGGGAACGGCGTCCGCCGGTGCTTGCCGGCGAGGCACGCGTCGCAGACTTGGTCGACGCGGTCCACAGGGGCATGCCGCGGATGAGCTCCTCACGCCCCCATCTTCTTGAGTGCGCCGAAATTGACGTGCCCGAATCAGGCATGCCAGAGCCATGCGCCCTCCTTGCGGTGCACCGCGAAGCAAACTGACAGTGCGATGTCGGCGTCGAGCATGTAGGGCCGGCTTGGGCTCCGGTGGACTTTGGCGAGCAGGCGGTGCTCCTCGTCATGGATCCGCATCACTCCTCCCTCGACGAGCACCTAGAACCCCACCTCGTCGAGCTGGCCGACGCTAATGATGTTCGTGGTGAGGCGGGGGATAAAGTAGGCGTTGGCGAGGGTGCGGTGCTCCCCGTTCTTGCAGGCGAAGAGGATGGTGCCACGGCCCTCGATCTTGACGACGGAGCCATCGCCGAACCGCACCGTGCCGACGATGTCGGTGTCGAGGTCGGAGAAGGCGCTGCGAGATCCCGTCATGTGGTTTGTAGCCCCGGTGTCCAGGACCCAGCGCTTCGGGTCCCGGTCCTCCGCCGCGTCGAAAGCGGCGAACACTTTTGCCTCCACGAGCTCGACCTGGTGTGATGTCGGGGGGGGGGGCATCGGCGGCGACGGCGGTGTTGGGGAGCGGCGGCGGCGCCTGAGTCCGAAAGAAGCGGAGTGGACAACGCATCCTCCTCGGCCCCATAGGCAAACATCAGTGTGGGCTCGTCGTCATGGGCCACATGGGCCTGCTCCTCCTTGAGTTTGCCATGGCAATTTTGGGCCCAATGGCCTTTCTTGCCACAATGCTTGCACTCATCGTCAGGGCCGGCGCGACCCAAGCTCGCACCGCCACGTGCGTCGCTGCTGTTGCCGCCGCCGCGACCGCGCAGCTTGCCGCGGCGCTTGCCCCGGCCTCTAGCGCTTGAACCGCCGTGGCCAGACTTCGTCCCCTTCTGCTTGTACCTCTCCAGCCACTGCTCCTTCGTGAGAAGTAGCTTGCCACCGGCAGCTTGGGCCGGTGTGGGCTTGACGTCGTCCACCGCCTTCAGCCTACCGGTGACCTCCTCGATCGAGAGCTGGGAGATGTCGAGGAGAGTTTCAATGGAGATGACGAGTTGCTTATACCTCAGACGCATGACGCGCAGATACTTCTCCACGACCTTGGTGTCCGGCTCGGGATCGCCCAGGGTTGCCAACCGCTGCACAATACTGGTGAGGCGGAGCGCGAAGTCCTCAATCGCCTCGCCGCGCGGAGTGCGATCGCCTCGTACTCAGCGTGGAGGTTCTACGCCGTCGCCTTCCGTATGCGGTCGTCGCCGATGCGGAGCGTCTTGATGGCCTCCCAAGCTTCCTTGGCGGTTGCCTTGGTCGCAAGCGCGGGCACCATCTCCACCGGGACGGCGCTGCAGATCGCATCGAGCACGCTGTGGTCGTCATCGAACTCGACATCATCGTACTCGACAGCGTTCCAGAGGTGACTTGCCTGCATCTTCAGCTTCATGCGGAGCGACCATTCGTTGTAGTTCGTCCTTGTCAGCTGCGCCCAGTTGTCGGAGCTGCTGCCCTCCCGGATGATGTGCTCGATCACCACCTCCCGCGGACGGTGTGCATCCCGGGTGCGCGAGCGACGTGCGTCGCGCGCGCGTGATCGGCGTGGTGGAGAACGGCTCGGAGACGGCGTGCGCGGCGGCATCTTGTTGCCTGAGCCGCTGCCCTTTTGCTTCTCGGTGCCCGGCGGGGTACGGCCTCGGGGTCTCGTTGGAGACGTCATGGCGACAGCGAGCTCCCTCAAACCTGGCTCTGATGCCACTTGTGAGGCCCGGGGCGGCGATGAACGACGCCGGCGAACTCTCAGTCTCGCTGGAGAAGATGAACTGCACACCCACACACGCGAATACTGAACAAAGGACATGAGAATTTGGTGCTACCAAAAGCCGCAGCGTTTTCTGATCTTGAGTTCTCCTTTTATTGTATGAAAAATACAGAGAGAGCGGAGCTCTCGGAAGCCGACTGCACGTCGCCTGGTAGCGTGTCCATCCCCACGCGTGCGACGTCGTCCACTCCCGATCAGTCGAGTCATGGCGAGCTATTCTCGGCCAATTCCCCTAAGCGCACGGCAACCACAGGATTCGGTGCTCGTACGCATGCATAACAGAAATCAAAAGCATGCAAGTCTATCTATTTACAGCGCAAAGCTTAACTAACACTCTTTGCTAAATGATTTCATCAGTATTCAAAGTACCAGCTTGTTTGTTGCCTTGTGCCTCGCAATACAAATATCTTAACCTGTCTATCAAATATGATTTGAGTGAAATTTTACTACGCTTGGAATTAATGGAAGCCCTTAACCATCGCCATACGAAGCACACAATCGTTTGTTTATCCAAGGGTTTATGTAGGGGGAAACCAAAGGAATTAATTGATCCAATGTTCACCCAACGACCAAGCTCTATGAGTTTGTCCAGTGTTCCGAGACTTTCCTGGTCCAAATGTTTGTCCAATGTTTCACTTTATGCATTGGCTGAACTCTGAGCTTGATGACCGTCAGAAACAAATATACAAATGGGGCATTTCGGGTAGCATATATGGCAATTGTGATTGGGAGACGACTTCCAGCTTCCCCTCCTTGTCAACCTGCTGCTTCTGTGTGTACAGTGTGTGAACACCCAGCAGGTTCACAAGGCGAGGGGGTGACATCCCGGAACGCTTGTTAACCAGATCAGATTACGAATTAAAATAGCCTATATATCTATATATATCATATTTTCCACACCTATATATATATATATATCATATTTTAAAACAATTTTTTTGAGAAATATTTTAAAACAAATGAAAATGTGGGTCTGGATATTCTCAAATTCTAATACAAATCAAAACTGGATGGTTTAAATGCTTGGCTGCAAAGTGCACATCAAATATACATACGTATTCCATTTCCAGGTCCAAAGACAAAGCAATCCGGTTGTTTTGACGGGAATTGAAGCATGATGCAACATTCGTTTAAATTACTGCGGATCAGTTCATGCATTTTTTGTATTGCCAAGATAATATATAGATGCCTTTCTTTCGTGGCTGCATTGCATAGGATTTCTTACTGATTTATACAGTATGCCATATGGTGCGCTCCGCAAGTCATGATAATGTGATTATGTGAAGCTTGAGTGATTGATCTGAATCTGAGCCGTCATGCTGCCGGATTGACGAACCTGCAGTCGCGCCTGATCTCCCCCTCGTCGTCGCCGAGCGGGTTGTACTCCGACATGGTGAGGAGCGCGGCGGCGAAGCGGTCGTGGAAGTAGGCGTTGTCGGCGGCCATCCGGGCGACGAAGGACGCGGTGCGGGGGTCGTCGGCGAGCCGCTGGTCCACCAGGAGGAGGCCCCTCCGCGCCAGGAGGTTCTTGTAGTACATGTTGTCGAGGACCATGGGCGTGGCGCGGTCGTTGCGCGCGTACGCCACGTCGCGCGTGTCCTCCCTGGCGTCCGCCGTCGGGCATCGCTGCCGTAGGTACGCGCCGTAGGCCTGGTCGACGCCGGCGTCCACGGTCGGGTACAGCCGCGCCACCAGGTTGAAGCAGTGCACGCGGCCGACGGAGTGCGCGCCCAGCAGCGCCACGGCGCCCTCGGCGTCCACGCCCAGCGCCGCGAACCGGGACAGCACCGCCGACACGCTGTCGTTGTGGTTGGGGATGTCGCGCTCCACCTCGTCGTCGTGGCTCTCCCGGCTGTCCCTCCGCCCCGTGCGCATGCCCACGACGCGCGGGCCACCCAGGATGGCGGCGCCGTCCCGCGCCGCCAGGGCCAGGACGTCGGAGCAGGAGACGGTGCCGGGGCACTCCCGCTCCACCGCCGCTTTTATCACGTCGATGTACTTGAAATTCCTCATGCCGAAGCTCCGCGGGGAGGCCTTCTCGGAGACGCTGGTGGCCGTGGGCTCCAGCAGGAGCGAGGCGTCGCAGGACCTCACCATGCAGTCGTGGAACAGGGCGCGCAGCCACGACACCGCCGTGTTGCCGTGCTTGTGGTACAGCTGCGCCACCTGCTCCTTGACGATGTCCTCGGCTCGCGGGCAGCTCTCCGAGTAGTAGCCCAGCCGAAGACCACCACCACCATTGCCGGCGTCCGCCGCGCCTGCAGGATGATCGTGAAGGGATCGGACGGAGTACATGGAAGATGCAGAGAGAGGGATGTAAAGGTTAAATGTGCACATATATGAATTGTGAATTGTTACCACTTACCAGTGGTGAAGCAGCAGAAGAACAGCAGAGCAGCAGAGGACAGCACCGGTGCTGCTGCAACTAGGCTGCTTGAGCTCCTCAGACCCGTCATCTTCTTTAATTTCTCGCTAGACTAGAGTGGAGCAGGCTTCATATATGTATATGGGAACATGGGATCCTATGTTTACAAACACTCCACATACCTGAGGCCAGGCAGAGGAGACCCATCTTTCTACTCCACCAGCATCCGGGAGAGTGGTGGATGGCAATGCAAGTGGCTGAGTGGAGTGGCTGATGACCCAAAGCGACCTGGAAGGTGGTTAACGTTCATCCTCCACCCATAGACCGATCAGGTGCTGCTGTGTTTTGGTCAGAAGATGAGATGCAACGATGGTCCAAATGAAGTCCATCTCAACCCTGTTCGCTTACGCTGAAATTTGGCTAATGCTGAAATGTTGTGAGAGGAAAACACCGTTCCATAGTTGGAAAATAGTGCTGAATAAGCTCAACTGTACAACAATATATATGACTACTTAGTAAATAGTACAATTAAGCAGTAGTTAAGCATTATATTCCAGCACGGTTATGAACGCAATAGTCCCTGGTTGACCAATGAAAATAAATAACTGACAGAAGAAGCAAGTGTCAATAAGAGTCACAAGTTTATTAGCTGGATGTTATTACGTCTGTAGGAATCATGCAAAACTAATTAAGCCCCTTGGTCTGTACTCGGTACTAAATGCTAGGCAAAAGACGCACAGATGGAAGAAGGATGACAAGATCCAGACTGGCAGTCAATGGCGACCAGTGCAGTGCTCTTTGCTGACTCTGCTGACGAGTTTGTTCATTCAGTCCGTAAAAAAAGAGGTATGCAGATCAGATCCATGCCCATGCGCTTGGCCACTGATTAAATAAAGAATAATAATACTATACACGTATACGAGAATCACGGGCAGCTCGATGATCAGAATAGTGTTGAATTCTGAGTCACGATTATGGGTTCGAGACGATCTCAAGAATAGTGCCAAAGTGCAGTAGTAGTACCAACGAACCTACCAGTGAGTGGCAGTGACCCCAAGCCATAGCCATGGTCAAAGGGTTGGCTTGTGTGGTCTACCGGACGGGGAGGAGGAGATGATGAGAGGTGGGGGGAAGGAATGTTAGGCAGCCACTCACGATCACGATCACGCAAACGCAAATTGTGTCATTAGTGGAGGCTAAAACAAGCAATCGGCAGATATATATGTGCACGCGTAGGCCCGAACAAAGGGAGAAGACAGCGACGTGTCATCGGGAAGACGCCACTCCTCCTTATCTACTACAGTACGGAGTAACAAACTGTTGCTAAACCGTTGACCTTTGGGTTATTATTATATACTAATTATAAACTGGAAAAGTGAGGAAAATAACATTATTCATGGATAATCCGGTATCTGAAAATGTATTGCCGGACCTTCTATCCCTCTCTCTTCGGCCTCGCTAGGAAAACGCGACCACTGAACATTCGATTGAACGTAAGTCCTCGATCGAGTCCTCGTGTGTGGAAGGGAATTGAAGGGAGCACACAGGATATGCATGCTGGGAATAATTAATTTTATCGGTTGCATCCTCAGAGTCCTGATCATCTAAAAGCTTTGCGTGTCTTTGTATTAAAGTAGAAAAAACGAGTTCGAGTACAAGACGCTCAAACGGCGTCCGGGTGGGCTTTACAAGGTTTTGCAATTTGCATCCTCAGAGTTGTCAGTTTGCCACTAATGGCCGAGTGGCTATTAATGGTTGTGTAAAATCAGAAGATGGCAGGAACCGACTGGGATAACGCCAAGTCTTTTCCACCTAAGAACCGACAGTGTAATTCCCCTATTGTTTTGACCGACTGTAATTCCTATTGTTGGTTCTCATCTCAACAAAGAACCGATTGCAGTTGAAAAATAACGACATTGCCCTGATTCTACTTTTGCCCGACTTGCCACCATTCAGAGCCATAAGCGACTGCCATCTCTCAAGAGTCAAGACTCGGTGGAGGACGGATGCTTTCTTTTTTTAGAAGGATATATCAACATATTGTCGAGAATGGTAAGTTTCATTATTGCATTTTGCCTTTTCAGAGACGGGCAGATACTGTTTTTAGAGAGAGAGAAGGGGGGGGGCGTCCGCCTCTCCATGCTTGTCACTGAAAATCACATTTTGCAGAGGCGTTGTCAAGTCCACCTCTGTAAATTGAAGAAAAAACAACAAAATCAGACAGTGGGCTTGAGCCTGCTGGCCGAGCCCGGAGACCCGCTGTCGTCGATGGAGATCCGCAGCTGCCAGTTCGCCGCCGTCGATGAAGATCCGCTGCTGTCCATGAAGATCCGCCATGACCGAACCCGCTGTTGGAGATCCATCGCTCAAGCCCGCTCTTCATGGGACTCCGGAGAGCCCACGCTTGGCAGATCCAGCCGCTGCTCGAGCCCGCTCTTCATGGGACTCCAGAGAGCCCACGCTTTCGCGAGATCCAGCCAGCCGAGCCCGCTCTTCGCTTCGAGATCCAGCACGCCTCGAGCCTCGAGCCCCGCTCTTCAAGGACGCCGAAAAGCCCACGCTTCAGCAGATTCAACCAGCTCTTCTGCGCCGAGCCCGCTCTCTAGTGAGAGACGCCTCCAGAGAGCCCACGCTTCACAGTTCCAGAGATTCAAGCCGCCGCCAACAGAGCATGCTCTTCGTGAAACGCTAGAGAGCCCACACTTTGCAGATCCAGCCGTAGCTCGAGCCCACTCTTCGTGAGACACCAGAGAGCCCACGCTTCGCAGATCCAGCCGCCATTCGAACCAGCTCTTCGTGAGACGCCAGAGAGACCATGCTTCGTAGATCTAGCCATAGTCGAGTCGTTGGTCCTCCACGAAGAGCCGGGGCACGCGGCCATCAACTGCTAGTCCTCCACGGAGATCTGGGGCACGCAACCCCCGCCGCCAACGCCGATAGAGGTGAGGGAGAGAAGGGCACCATGCGTGAGAAGAGAGAAGGGCGGCGCAGACGAGTGAGAAGTGTCGGGTATTGATATTAGGGATACCCAGAGGAAGGAAGTTAACGGCCACGAACGTTAATTCGCCCGGATGGTCCAAGACGTATTTAAGGTCTCGCCAGACCCCGAGGGCGCGGGATCCATCTCGCCAGACCCCTAGGGCGCGGGTTCCATCTCGCCAGAACCCTCGGGGGTGGGTTCCGTCTCGCCCGACGGGGATCCATACCGCCTCCAACCACTACGGGTCTAAGAGTATGACCCTAGGGTCAAACTTCTGACACTGGGAGGGAAGCGGACACATCTCGACATGACCTGTGGACATGACGGACCATACCTGGGGGCTCACGTCGCCAACAGTGTCGGGCGTGCTGACGCTTTGCTGCCTAATCCCCGTATGGCTTCTGACAGGAGTACCTGTTGACCATGCTGCCCGTCAGAACAGAGTGGAGACCCATGACTGGCTGATGACGCCTGCGTATAGCGCCAGTGACGAACAGGGCCGTGACATGGAGCCATCCCCATCATCATCTACAGGACCGGCGGGACCCGCATAAAGGAGATGAAGGACGCCGCGACCCTTGAGGCCTTCTTCTCCCTCGCTTTTCTACTTTTCTCTCTCTTTCTCTCTCTGTAACCTGTGCCTTCCCCTTCACCTATAAAAGGAGAAGCAGGACGCCCCATGACGGGGGAGAGGCACGAACACACGGCTGAACGAGCTCAACAAGACTCAACTCCGTTCGATCTTTTCACCAGAGACTTGGGACCTTCTCCCTCTCTCGCCCGTTTGTAAACCCTACTACAAACTATTGCCGGTAACACGAGCAGCAGCAAACTGGACGTAGAGACATTCCGCCCAAACCAGTATAAATCTTTGTGTCCTCCGAGCATACCATCCGGTCCAGACATGTAATACAAATTTACTAGCCGGTGGTTCAAAACACCGATAGTTGGCGCGCCAGGTAGGGGGGTTTTGCGCGTCTCGATGTCCACACCAGGCCTCGGATGGCTAGTCACGGCGTTAGCTGGGTCCCGGGCACACGCGTGCGCTTGGGGAGCCTGGACTTCATCGTCATGACAAAGGGAGAGTTGGCGTAGGCCCTCGCCGCCATCCAGCCTCTCCACTCTGCCGGCCTCAACGTGATCGTCGCGGCGCTTGAGGAGTTGTAGCTACACACGCTGGAGGCCCATGTCTCCAGGAGCGACCAGCTCCTCGGCTTCGACTATGGAAGGCTGGAGCACCAACTCGATACCTTCCTGGGACCCCGACCATCCCGAGAGGAGCTACGCTGCCTTACTTTCTCCTTTGCCAACATCATGATGCAACTCACCAGAGGGGAACCGCTCTCCCTGGAACTCCTCACCCGGGGCGTCCCAGTAGCATTCCCGTTTGGTCTGCATCAGCCAAAGCAAAGGAAGCGTGTTGAATGTCATGGGGACCGTTAGCCACCTCGGTGGTCGGCGGTGGCGTGAACAGATTTGCACCCATCCCCACGAATTGATGAGTTCATGGGGATGACCGAATATGTCGTGAAATCTTTCCACGACCTTCTCGCGGGAGATTCAGAGTCGCTCTCTGACTCTAACTCTAGTAGGGGGAGCCATCACCCCTCGCGAGAATGTTTTATGGCAGGTACCCCCAAGGGACACGTCGAAAGTGTCCATGAGGGAGGGGCTACCCCACCAAATGACCTCGATGACGAGGTCGAGGAAGATGCAGGGGCCCTTCCTCGCATGCGGGTGGAAAGCGGTGCGGCTAAGGGCACACATCGATCCTCGGATCGAGTAGCTCGAGGACGCGACTCCGTAACTCAACTCTTGCTAGCTTGTTTGTCATAGCGCATGTACGCATCGTAGGTGCGGCTCGAGCGAGCTCGAGCGCCAAAACGAACGAAGAAGGTGGGCGGCGTCGCGCGCGCCATGGCCCACGACATGAACCGGAGGATCATCGAAGACGATGGAGCCCTCCCACACTATGCCCGGACAAGCCGTAACATCATGCTGTTTGATGACGGCGGCTTTGAACGCTCCGAGGCTCCCGAGCCTGCGCGACACCGAGGATCGTCGTTGGTCGTGAGATCCCATCGTGAGATCCGTGCACGCCCTGCTGCTGT